GTCCTGGAGCAGGCAGGTGGGAGTGGCCGTGGTCCTCTAGTGCAGTCACACAAACATTACTTAACTCTCTCAGCAACTAGGTATGGCACTATAAATGACATGCTGCCAACCAGAGAAACTCAGCAGGCCTCGGTGTTCAGAGCTTTTATTGGGGACATCAATCACATAGGCATGTAGTGCTCACATAAGCTGACCTCTGCTCTTCAGTCTCCATTACTCCCCAGAGGTCACACTGGGAGCACATCCTGGGGCCTCAGGCTTATCAAGACACTCTTACCAGGCAGAATCAGCAAGAGAAGCAGGTCAAGGGCCACACTGAAGACCCTTGGAACATTCAGGGTTTGGGCAATCAGTTCCTCCCAGCTAAATCCTTTACTGAAACACTCATTGGCATTTAGGACGTCACCTTTTTTTGTTGTTGTTGTTGCCTACATTTTTATCATTGTGATGTTGTGATTTATAATTTTAAAAATACATATATTTTATCTCCACCCAGTTCCTGGCACAGAGCCCTAAAACCCTTGAAATTCCCTGAGTGTTAAGAGGTGTAAAGGTGAAGGAAGCATCATTTTGTTCACAGCAAACCCCTTTAGCTTATGTCAATGAGGTGACTTTTAGAAGCCTCTGGGGATGAAGGGCTAGTTGCCCGGGGAACCAATCATGTGATTAGAGGGTTCAGAATTTTAGCCCCAGCCCCAACCTCCCAGGAAAGAAGAGACACTGGAGGTTGAGTTTATCACTGACGACACTGATCTAATCAATCATGCATACTGATCTAATCAATCATGCATACTGATCTGATCAATCATGCATACTGATCTAGTCAATCATTCCTGCTTAAAAACCCTACTTTGAGGGATTGGGAGAACTTTCAGGCTGTTGAATGCATGGAGGAATGGGGAGGGGTCATCGTTGAAGAGGGTATGGATATCCCAGGTCTCTTTCCTCATAGTTGCCCTGTGTGTCTCTTCCATCTGCCTGTCCCTGAGTCACATCCTTTTATAATAAACTGATACATCTAACAAACTGTCTTCCTAAGTTCTGAAAGTCATTCTAGCAAATTATTAAACCCAAGGAGGGGTTTATGGGAACCTCCAGTTTATAACAGTTCTGCTAGAAGCCCAGGTGACAATCTGGGCTTGCAACTGGCATCTGAAGTGGGGCCAGTCTCATGGGACTAAATCCTTAACTTCCTTTGGGATTTGACACTACCTCCAGGTAGATCATGTGAGAAACTGTTGAATCATAGAATATGCAGTTTGTGTCCACCAGAGAACTGAACTATTGTGCAGGAGACCCCACACAATCTGCTGTCAAAATTGAGAGCAGTAGCAGAGAGTAGAACAATAGAGAGAAAACACACACACACACACATACACACTTTTCTTTCCAGACACATAAATTTTGTCTCCCCAGTTAGAGTAGAAGGCACCATAAAGCAGAATTGTGTCTTATACATTTTTGTCCTGGGTTTTTGAGGGTTCCGGCTATTAGTAGATACCCTGTAAATATTTTTTGTTATTGTGCCAGTGACATTTTCTCAGGTTGCTCTCAAACCTAGGATATGCCTTTAGTTCCTTTCCACCTATCATCCCAATCCTAGCCACCCATCAATATCCAAATCAAGTCCTTCCTCCGCATTAGGTTTTCTCTAAGCCAGGTGTACCAATGCAGGCTTGTCATCCCAATGACTGGATGCGGGGAAGCGGAGGGAGGAGGATTGCAAGTTCAAAGCCAGCCTCAGCAACTGAGCAACTTATTTAGTCTAAATAAATAAATGGACCCAGGATGTCGTTCATTGGAAAAGCAACACTGGGTTCAATTCCCAGTAACACACACACACACACACACACACACACACACACACACACACAATTCCCTAAGGGCTATGGTTGTAGCTCAATGGTAGAGCACTTGTCTTGGACACATGAGACCCTGGATTCGATCCTCAGCAACACATAAAAAAAATGAAGAGAAAGATATTGTGTCCATCTACAGCTAAAAACAATATATATTTTTAAAAATTTTCCTAGTTATTTCAGTCCACACTGAGATATTTCTGACATATCTTCTGTCTGGAGAATCTAGTGTGACTTTTACCACATCCAGCCTTGAAATATCACTTAACTGTTTCATCTGACTAAGGCTTATCTCCCAACTAGACTATAAGCTTCTGGAGACAAAGGACTGAATTGTACCTTTTGCATTACCAGCTCGAGGCCTTAACACAATAGCTGCTCAATAAATATATGACCAATGAAGGTAGACATCCTTTTCTCTGGCTCTCCCTGCCCCCACCCCGCCATTTACCAAAGCAATCCGTTGCTTCATAAATAGATGAATATAATGAAATGTAGCAATGAGTCATTAGCACAGGACTTTTGCAAAGACTACAGCTTTTATTCCAATCAGTGGTTATTTACATCCTGAAGATGTTTCTCGGAGTTCTTTGTGAAGAGGATCGCCTCATTGATGCTCTGGGTGATGTAGTCAATGTTGCTGGCATTGATACAGGTGAAGTTAATCCTAGTACTCTTGGGCATGTAGATATGCTTCTTCTTGATCAGGTATTCCACCTGTTGGTCTGTGACAATCACAGGACTTCACATCCTGGGGTTGGCCACTTTTAATTTCCCAGGCAGGATTACTTGGGATAGAAACTGTTGGCATTTCTGAGGTTCCAAGAGGATCTTTAAAGCAGCCCCCCTTTTTTTTAGTACCAGAGATTGAACCTAGAGTCACTTCATCACTGAGACACCTCCCTAGCCCTTCTTTATTTGTATTTTTAAATTTTGGGAACAGGGCCTCACTAAGTTGCTAAGGCTGGCTTTGAATTTGGCGATCCTCCTGCCTCAGCCTCCCAAGCTGCTGGGATGACAGTTGTGTGCGGCAATGCCTGGCAAAGCAGCCCCACTCTCCAGAGGGATCAGGCAAATCTGGATCAGTGCTGTGGACTGGTTACCTAGTCAGTGAACTTTAATGCTCAAATACAGTCCCAAAATCAGAAAGAGGAGAGGCACCTGCTCTAGACACTTACGGCTGAGTCCAAGATAACCGTGGGTCCCAGTCTGTTCAGTGATGTGATCCCAGGAGCCAGGGGTACCCAGGAGCCGGAGCTTCTCCTTCACCTTCTCCTTGATCAACATGATGTTCTCTACAACCTCTTTGAGACTCTGCTTCCTGCCAAGAAAGGATAACAAAAAATGAGAGTACGAGGTCTCCCCTGCTTTTTGTTTGCTTGTTTGTTTGTTGCTGATGGACTTTATTTCTATGTGGTGCTGAGAATCGAAGCCAGTAACTCACACATGCTAGGCAAGTGCTCTGCCACCCAGCCCCCTCCCCTGCTTTGAACCTCCCTACTGCCTTTCCACTCCTCCCACTGCTCAAAGCCCCAGCAGAGTGCGCTAGGGACACCAGGGGAGTCTGGGCTCTGGGGTGGCTTAAATGGGAGGAAGATTTGATCCTGCTGTAGTCTGGGTCTTAAATGTCCCCTAAAGGCCCGTGTGCCTTGGTCTCTCGCCTGTGATGCTACTGGGAGTCGGTGGAGCCTTCAGGAGGCAGGGCCTCCTGGGAGGCAGTTAGGTTATTGGGGGTGTGCCCTTTGAGGCAATATTGGGACCCTACTCCCTTTCTTCTCCCTTCTTTTTTTTCCAGCCATCATGAAATAAGCAGCTTGCTCCACACACATTCCTCATCACATTGTACTACCTTACCACAGGCCTAAGCCACAGAAACACAAACTGAATCCTCCAAAACTATAAGCCAAAATTAACCTTTCCTCTTTTTAAGTTGATTATCTAAGGCATTTTATTACAGTAACGGAAAGCTGAGTGATACAGATCCCACAATAATCTAAATATGTTGAACAGGCTCCCAGGCAGATTTTGCCAGGATAACAATCTCCTGATGCTTTCAGATTTCTTCCTGCAATCAAAAAATGTTCAAGTAACCCATGGGCCTATTTCCAAAAGGAATGTTCTATTTTCCACCTCTCCCAAGGTAGGGCAAACCCTTGGCATAGCTACAGGTATACATATACAGTAGTCCCTCTGTAAAATTTGGCAAATGAATTGATGAATGTATGATGAGATAAACAGGCTACATGGCAGAGAGAGAACCAGCCAGCTGAATACTATGAACCAAGTCTCGGTATCCAAGGGCTCTTCCCACCTTCCCTACCCCAATCCTCCTGCCTTTACCATTCTCCCTGAAGGGCGGGGTTACAGAGGATGGAGGTGATTATGCGAGCACCCCTGGCAGGAGGGTTGAGCCACAGTGCCTGGGTGTAGTTCATCAGCTGGGAGAGGACACACAGCAAGTGCTGGTTGTTGAGTGTTGCCACGACCAGCATCCCCAGTCCTTCATCTGCAATTTGGGGAAGACAGCTCACCCTCAGCCTCCTCCTGCGTGACCTAGACCCTCACCTACACCCCTCCCCCAGCCTTACAGAAGAGAGGATTGAACTATGAGGTCTTCATGCAGAATAGTCGGTGGTATCTGTACCCAGGAAGCTGCTACATTCTCTTCTAGAAAAAGCACCCACATGTCCTCCTTCAAGGAGGAAAAAGAACTTGAACGATCCATCGCTAGTCCTACCCTCTCGTCTTAGGAAACAGAGGCTTGACCAAGTGAAATGATTGGACCAGAGTTGGTTTGGGAAGCCAGTATCATATCAGAGCCCAACTTCCAGTTCATTCCTTATCCTTTCGGCCGCCATGGCTCTCTCTCCCTGGAGTCCTGCACTCCTTCCAGAGGGTAAGTGTCGTCAAACATACTGCTCCTGTCACGGACGTGGCACCAATTCCACCTCAGACTACCCCTTCTCCTTCTGCCCATACCATACCGTAAATGCCAAAATTCTTGGACAGAGACTGGCTGCAGAAGAACTCAAAACCTTGAGACACAAAGTACTGTAAGATTTCGGCATCTTCCTCCAGGTCACCGGTGGATAAACCTTGACTGGGAATGTCAAAAAATGGGAATATCCGTTTGTTCTGTAGGAGAAAGGAGAACCCGCAAAGCATGGGACCTGATGGAGGAGACAGCAGATGGCAAGAAGGAGGGAGTTCAGGCAGGACGCTGAGTTTACCTTAATGGTGAGCATCAACTTGGTCAACTGACTTTGTGTCCACTTGCAGTCAGTGATGTTCCCAATCACCAGGATACAGTCACGTGGCATCTGCTGCAAGTAGAGACAGTCTCATCAGGTAGGTCTTCTACCAAAGGATAGTGGCACCAGGGCATTTGGAGGAGAAATGCTCGTCCATGTTGGTTCCTACCACAAGGCCAGGTAAATCCAAGCCTAGTGAAGGCTGTGAACAACTTGGGGAGGAGGAGAGGCAAATAAGACTAAAAGTCAGGTCTGGGCAGAAGTTTCTGAGTGGGGATCCGTCTACCTCCACCACATCAAAGAATATGTTGGAGTCCATGCACAGGTGCTTGGGATCCCAGATGCAGTATTCGTAGACTGTAAAGCCCATGTCCTGGAAGACGATTCCATATGGTTCTGTAGGAATGAAGCCCTCCATCAGCTGTGGTACATGGGAATGGACAGATAGAGGCAGAGACACTGGAGAACGGGGCTGAGTCACTGGCTGATAGAGGAACAATAACAGAAAGAGAGTTGCCTGGCTTGTGCACCATGTTTCTCATGATAGAGAATAAGGACAAGAGTGAAAGATTACAGATGGGGTGGGAATTAGGAACAGGCAATGGGGATCTTCAGTTGCCCTCATCTTGTACAACACTCACATCATCATCATCATCATTATTATTATTATTATTATTATTATAGTTGTAGATAGATAGCATGCCTTTATTTATTTGTTTGTTTTTATGTGGTGCTGAGGATCGAACCCATGCCTCACATGTGTGAGGCAAGCGCTCTGCCACTGATCCACAGTCCCAGACCCAACACTCACCTTTTTGAGTTGAAATCATGCAAACGACTTGAGCATCCCTAAGCCAGGTCTTGAGGAACTGGGCCCCAAGCTGGAAGGCACCACTATCACCAACAGTGTGCACACCTCCGACCTGTCAGTAAAAAATAAGCAGAAGTAACACTTTAAAGAAGTAATAGTAACTGGAACTCAGTTAGAATTACTTTAAAGAAGTAATAGTAACCTGGAACTCAAACTTTTTTTTTTTTTTTTTTTTTTGCAGTGCTAAGGATGGAAGCCAGGGCTGGCTGTGCATATTAAGCATGTGCTGTACCACGAGCAACAACCCCGGTCCCCAGTTCAGGTCTTTCTTGAATTTCGAGTTTTCGAACCAGCAGAGTGAGTGAGTGCAAATAGCACTGGATTGGGGTTCAGATCCAGGCTGACCCTTAAAGGGCAAAATTGTGGACTTTCTGAGTCTCACGTGCTGCTTTTGTCAATGTTGGGGGGGGGGCCCTGCAAAGTTCCTTGATGGTTTAAGGTTCTGCAGACACAGATGTCTACTCTCTGGCTCTCACCCTGTTCTCCACAATGGCTTGGCTGTACTTTCCGAAGAGGAGTTCCAAGGAGGCCTGAATGAATGATTTCATGCCAATCATAGGCAAGTACTCATAGTTCAGAGAGGGATCCTGTGCAATCTGCAGTCGGGTCTTGTTTACCACCAGAGAAACCCAGGGTTGGCCTTCATTGGTCATGCAGACTGTGAAGGAAGCGACAGAGGGAGCTCTGATGTCCAGTCTTGGAGCCTACAAGTGTGGGCTTTGCAGACAACCCACAAACAGTAAGTCTGTTCTGGGTTTCTTGGGGCTTTGGAAAGTTGCCTATGAAAAGATATTCCCCACCATCACCTTTATTTTTTCTTCATATAAACAATGTGCTGTTAGCAGATGTGTCTAAATTTTGTCCTCCTCTTTAAAAAAAAAAAAGACAACCAAAACTATGACATTTTAGAGATTAAAATTGTATACTCGGTTCAAGTTATGGATACACAACACTAAACCAAGGCAACCTTGACTTTCACAGTTCCAAGGGCTGATTGCATATCAGAAGGGTCAATTTGGGGAATAAGAAAGAAAGAAGAGGAGAAGGAAAGAAGAGCATGAGGAGGAGGAAGAGAAGGTAGCAGTTGAAGAGAGTCCAAAGTATAGAACTGTACAAGAGGCCCTGACTATTTCCTAGAAGGTCCCAGAGAAGAGCAGAGGGCATGGAATGACTTGGGACCTTCTCTGCCCTTTTCCCCACTGGGCAATTCTGTTAAAAAGTAAAGACCTTTCCACCTGCAAAGGCTTGGGCCATCCTCCATCCTCTGTAGCAGTGAAATCCTGCTGTATCTATATTAAGTCTCCAACTCTAAAACTACCAGCATCTACCTTTGTAGGCCAGGAACATCTTGTCAGGGTAATCGTCTTGTTTGTAGGTCTTTAACAAGGTGCCTTCCAGCTTGTGCATCATAGGCACGTCCATGAACACTGAAAGGGTGGGCATAACTAAAATGAAAGGGAAGCCCAGGCTCTGAGCCTGAACCCCTGCTCTTCCCCAAGGCCTGGGCCAGACAGTCCTCACTCTTCCCAGACCCTGGCAGCTCCAATACAGAGACTATGGACAGCTGGTTGCCAAGCAACAGAACCTCACAACTCCCAGCCTCCACCAGGGCAACACTCAAGGGCCACGGGAACATTCCATGGCACTTGAGGAGAATCCCCTGGGAGAGTTGGCAGAGGGAAGGGGCAGGGAAGGACATGGAATTCCCAGGCACTTTTCTCTAACGCACTGCCTTCTCTCTAGCCCCCAAGTCATCCAATCCAAAATACCAAGTCAGCTGTTTAGAAAATAGGACAAGGTTGGAGACCCATGAACCAGGTAGGGCTTCCCAGATCACATAGCAGCACAAGTCAAGTGATAATTTTTTTAAAAATATTGTATCAGTTGTTAATAGATCTTTATTTATTTATATATGGTGCTGAGGATCGAACCCAGTGCCTCACACATGCTAGGCAAGCACTCTACCACTGAGCTACACCCTCAGTCCAGAGGGATAAAGTTTTAAACTTTCTACTTTCATTTTGCAAAGGGCCTAATCTTTTAAAAGCAATAGGAAGAGTGTGCTGTTTTCTTCCACAGTTATTTTAACAGAGTCCCATGACTAGAAACAGTGTAATTTGCAACTCAGTTAAGTCCATGTTTGTCTCAGTAATCTACAGCCAAGACTTCTACACTTCACAGCTTGACTGATGGCCCATCAGTACAGGTAGACAGCAGAGGCCAGCAGACAGAAAAAACAATGCAATACGCACAAAATGAGACAGATTTTCAGGATCTACATTATAGCTTTCTTTGCAATGCCAATGAAAAACTAAACACCAGTTACTGAAGGAATGTTTAAATGACTCATGAAGAGCAACATGACGGAATTCTATGCAGCTGTTGTAGGCAGCCCCAGATGTACAGATGGGGGAAGATCTCTAAGATATCTGAAGCAGAAAACATGGGAAATACTGAATACATAGCAATGCGAGGGACATTTGGAGGAAAAGAAAAGGTCTATTTGCATGGATAAGATTGTGTGCCTATAGATTCTCCAGGAGGATACATAAGAGCCATCTAAGTGTAATTGCCTCTGTAATTCCATCTCTGACCAAACCAGAGCACAAATAAGGTCATATTATCTAGAATAAATTGCCTTTGTCTACATAGCGCAGAATCACCGGCCTCTCGTAGCCTCCTCCAGTTGTCTCCGGGATTGTCCAGGGCATTGGATATCTGGTGGAAAGAGCTGCTTTTTTTTTCTTTTTAATCCTAGACCATGTGAATAGATTTCCCATTCAAAAATCATGCTTATAGCCAGGTGTGGAGAGCACACCTGTAATCCCAGCAACTTAGGAGGCAAGGCAGGAGGATCCCAAGTTTGAGGCCGGTCTCAGCAACTTAGTGTGACCCTGTCTCAAAAAATACAATGGGCTGGGGAGGTAGCTCAATTTTAAAGCACCCCTGAGTTCACTCCCCAGTACAGGAAAAAAAAAAAAAAAAGCAAAAACCTCCAATCGTGCTTATACATTTTTAAATGGCTGCAGCCTTTCAGACATTATATCCTTTCTACATAGAAGAGAGAGTGGCTTCTCTTGGGTCCCCGAAGCCCACATCCTTCTTGGTCCTTTCTCCTTGGCTTCAGTGGAGTCCAGGGCCAATTTCTTGATCTTAACCCATGAATGAGATGAGATACTCTGGTCAGTTTAAAACAATTGCCTAGGGCTGGGAATGTGGCTCAGTTGGTAGAGTGCTTGCCTCCCCTATAAGGCCCTGGGTTCACTCCCCAGCCCACACACACCATCACCTAGAGCCATGGGTGGTGTCTAGCCCTCCCATACGGCATGGCTAAAAAAGATGCCCCTGAAGAATATTCCAGGTTCTCTTAGAATGAGAAAAGGGAGGAGGGATCTGGGGAAAGACTGTCAGCAAATGTTCACTGCATGATCTGTTCTAAAATTAAAAGACACTACTTTTTTTTTTTTTCTTTTTGGTGCTGGGAATTAAATTCAGTTCCCTCTGAACACCTAAGCACGTGCTCTACCACTGAGTCACACCCCCAGCTACTCTTTTGTTTTCTGGCCTTGAACTTCCAAACTCCATAAGCAGCCGTGGGAAGCAGAGGAGGTTTTCCTTGGGCTTACCCTCTCTCACGGAGAGCCCAGAGGGTAGAAGCAGTGAATGGGAGTGAGGGACGTGGGAGGGGAGGGGAGTTAGTTTGTGTCAGAGGTTCTGCCTGTTGGCTGGGTAGCCAATAATTGTGGCCCCAGATTTCCATCTCTGACCAAACCAGAGCACAAATAAGGTTATATTATCTAGAATAAATTGCCTTTGTCTACATAGCGCAGAATCACTGGCCCCTCTTTGCCTCCTCCAGTTGTCTCCGGGAGTTCCTCATGGTTTCTTGTGGGACCTTGGGAATCATGCTGTCGTGGTCACCCAGTCCTATTCCCCTAAGTTGACATCTGCTTCTCAGAATGTCACGTGGGCTCAGTATTTCCCCACTGCCACAGGCACTGGCCACCACGATAACAAGTACATGATCCACAAAGGTGCCAAATGGGACAGTCTCCTGAAGCCCCCATAAGCAAAACTGTTACCTACCAGCAGCCAGCACCTGCCTGTGGCCCTCAGGGACCCCTGAAAACCGTTCCCTCCATTCTTCCCTGCCTCTGAACAGTACTCAGACACCAGAACTCATTAAGTGGAGCCTAAGGACAGAGAAGGGTCAAAGACAGAGGAGGGCGTTTGATGCCAGGCAGACCTGGATTTCCACCTCAGTCCTCTGCCCTAGTTCCTCTGTGGCCTTGGGCAAGTTGCTTAAAATCTCTGCACCTCAGAGTATACATATGTATGCATGCATACACATCTAAGACTTAATTTGATCTTTTTTTTTTTTTTTTTTTTTGCTTTTTCCTCTCTAGCTTCCACATATAAGAGAAAACATATGACACTAGTGTTACCGAGTCTGGCTTATTTCCCTTGACATTTCTCCTGTTCCATCCATTTTCCAGCAAATGTCATAATTTCATCTTTCTTCATAACTTAATAAAGCCTCCATTGTGTATATAGACCACATTTTATTTATCTATTCATCTGTTCACAGACCCCTCGTCTGGCTCCATAACTTGGCTATTGTGAATTGTGCTGCTACAAACATGGGAATGCATGTTTCTCTAAAGGATGCTTATTTTTAACCTTTTTTTTTTAAATAGTTGACATCTTCACAAGATCTTTTATTATTTTTTTTCCATTTTTTTATTCTAATTAGTTATACTGACAATAGAATGTATTTTGACACATCATACATAAATGGAGTATAACTTCTCGTTCTTTTGGTTCTACCAGTTGTGTAGTCATATAGAATGTGAGAGTCATTCTACTATCCTTCCTACCCCTATTCTCCTCCCCTCCCTTCACTTCCCTCTACCTAATCCAAAGTAATTCCATTCTTCCCTAGCCCCCTCCCTTATTGTGAATTAGCATCCACATATCAGAGAAAATATTCGGCTTTTGGTTTTGGGGGGATTGGCTTATTTCTCTTAGCATGATATTCTCCAGCTCTATCCATTTACCAGCAAATGCCATAATTTTATTCTTCTTTAAGGCTGAGAAATATTGCATTATGTATATATACCACTTTTTTTTATCCTTCCATCTGTCAAAGGATACCTAGGTTGGTTCTATAGTTTAGCTATAAAACTATATAGTAACTATATAGTTACTATAAGCATTGATGTGGCTGTGTCCCTGTAGTATGCTGATTTTAAGTCTTTTGGGTATAAACCTTTTGAAATATGTGTGTGTGTGTGCATCCATGAATGTGTGTGTATGTGTGTGTGCGTGCATGTGTGCGTGTATCTAATAGAAATAACAAACATTGTGTTTTACTTGTGAGGCTTATGGAAATAAGCATGTCCCTCAAGCTGTTACAAAGAGACAGAAACTGAAAAACTGAGGTCCAAATGTAAGTTTTGACGATAGAGTTTATAGTACAGGATACTTGGGAGTTCCCCTGAAATACAGCTGATGTTCAAACAAACTAGGTTATTATATTTTTCCCCAGAAAATGTCCAGCTCACAGATACTCACTGAAGATGACTGCTTAAGAGAAATAGCCCCTTAGGTAATCTCTCCAGTCCCTCTCAGGCTTAGCCAAGGGGAACAAAGGATAATGGCTGCCAGCAGGGAACGGACTCAAGAAAGGTATCCTTGCTAGCTTATCCAAAGAGCTCATTTCATTGCTAGGAACATGCTATATTTGAATAAGTGTCCCCCAGACATCCATGTATTGGAGGCTTGGTCCCCAGCTTAGTCCCCAACTCTTGGGAGTCCGTGGAATCTTAAAGACTTGGGACTTAGTAGGAGATCTTCAGGTCCCGGAAAGTGTGCCCTTGAAGCAGATTGTGGGACCCTTGCCTCGTCCTCTTTCTCTTTCTCTTCCTGACCATGAACTCAGCAGTTTTGGTCCTCCTTGAACTCCTGCCATGATACGCCACCACCAGGCCCAAAGCAATGGGGCTAATTGGTCATGCACTGAAACCTAAAACTGGAAAACAAAATAAACCTTTTATCTGTCTTGAGTGTTTGTTACAGTAACAGAAAGCAGACTAACATAAAACAAGAATTAAAAAGTAATTATACCTTGTGTCCACAACTGTAGGGGTAGTATGTGCTTTGAAGTAAAGAAGACTATGTTGCTTCTCTTCCCATTTTTCTAAATGGGGGCTTTAGAGCAGTTTTCTTCCTGGCACTGTACACTGAGTATATTTAAGAGTGTTTACATTTACATTACTTTTAGTCCATAAGTTCCAATGTCATAAGTACCCACTTTCAGATACAGAAAAATACATCTCACCCAAAGATCCTGAGCTCTAAACTAAATATTAAATGTGGCTTGGGTTGTTTCCTTTTGGGATGAGAGAGTGAGTTTTGAGTTGCATGTGGGAAAAAATGCATTATTGTAGAATAAAATTCCCCTCTTCTAGAGAGTTCTCTTGAGCATATAAACAGGCAGTAAAAGTCCCACCTTAAAAACAAACATCTTTCCTTTGATCTCATACTTTCCTTCCAGATACCTCATGTACCTGTCAATCAGGGTTCAACAAGGAAAAAGATGGATACTCTAGGAATTAGACCTTACATAGCTGGGGGAGGAGCTAGGGAAGTGAAGGTAGAAGATGTAGGAAGAAGAATTAGGCCCAGCCAACACATCTAGCTGCAGAAATGGTTCCCATGAGGCAGAATGTATGGAGAGGTCTAAGGGAAGATGGGGCTTCAGATCAGCTATTGCCCCTGTGGGTTTGCAGTCAAGTGTCTTGTGAGGTCCTCTGAGGATTGGCAAAACCAACAGTCTGCAAGCAGAGCTGGACACAAACAGAGCTGAAGACAAGCTGGAGCCCCCAAACTACTTCTGCTTCTATATCTCTCCTGAAGTCCTCCCTGTATTAAGGGATCCTCCTTCACTTCTGCCTCCCAAAGCTTGTGTGCATTCCCCTTTTGTCCAACTTTACCCCAGAGTCTCAAAAAAGATGCTGGGAACCAAAGTTCCCTGATTAACCAAGATGACACCAGATGATCAGTCTCACTGTGCTTCTATGCCCCTCTTCAAAGCAATAGCTCTTGAAAGAATGCTTCCTGTTCTGTCACCTCTTCTCCACTGGGAATTCTGCTGGGTCCAATCTGATCAGCATGTCATCATCATCACATCCTTGGGCCTGGTCTCATCAAGGTCACCAAGGACAGACCTTCACTGCCAGATTCAATGGTATGTTCTCCGTCCTCTTGTTATTCAATGTTTCAACAGTATGTGACATCACTGGCTGCTTCCTCCTTAAAACATCTTCTTCCCAGGACTTCTGGGACCCTGCTCTCTTGGCTCTTCTTTCACTACTGACCCTGAACTCCTGGGCTCAAGTGATGCTCCTTGCCTCAGCCTCCCAAGTGCCTGGGAAAAGAGGTGCACCATTGCCTCTAAATATCCTCTAAATGACCTCTAAATATAGAAATGCCCCAGAGCCCAGGCTTTTGAATTCTTCTCTATCTATACTCACCATGCAAGTAATCTACATTCATGAACTTAAATACCTATCTCTTGTCTTCTTCTAGCGCTGCCTAGAGAGGTGGCAGACATCTCCTATTCGGCATCTTGGCTGCCCTCAGACCTCATGTGAAGCCCAAAACCATCCAAAAGAGGACCAAAGAGGCTGAGGATGTGGCTCAAGCGGTAGCATGCGTGCGGCCCGGGTTCGATCCTCAGCACCACATACAAACAAAGATGTGTCTGCCGATAACTAAAAAATAAATATTAAAAAATTCTCTCTCTGT